ACTGCCTTGTTGCCACCTCCAGCTTCAGCAAGTCCCATGCAATGGCCCTGCAGCCCCCTTTCTAGGGCGATTTCGGAGCCGGGCTGGGACCAGTCCTTTCCCCTTCCTGGGCCAGAGGCGACCCGGGGCGGACGGGGGGAGCGGGCTGCCTCGTCACTCTGTTAACACGGAGCCAGGGTGACGTGTCGCCTGCGTTAGCAGACCCTGGGACTCCGTGACCCAGAAAGCTGCTTCTCATCCCTCCTTTCTAAAACGAGCCCAGCTGGTGTTCGCAGGAGCAGCTCTGTCGAAGGGAGGCAGCGGAGCAGCTCCGTGGTGGGCTATCCGGGCTCGGCTCCACCGAGTTCTCCAGCCAAAGCTTTTCTTGTGGCCGGCGTTTGCAAAACACATCCCTCTCCCTGCAGTTCCTCTGGCGTCTGGGAAGCCGTGAGCTCACCCTGCCCTTCCTTTTCCAGAGAAGTTATGAGGCTGCCCTCAGTCCTCACCCCCCTCCATCGATGCTTCGGCCCCCGCCGCCCTCTTCTGCACCAGGGCAGGATGGGGCTGGTGGGTTGTGGAGCGCTGAGCCCGGGGAGAGGAGCAGCCTGGCTGCCAAAGGGTCACAGCCAGAACTGGAAACCAGTCACCGGCCACATCAGAGGACCGCCCAGGGTGGTTGCCTGGGCTGGAGAGACAAATCTTCACACGGAGAGGTCAGCAAGCTCCATACCGACCCACCAAGGAAGCTTTAGGAGCCCACCCTCTCCTGCCCTCTGGCCTGCTAGCTCTTGGTGGGGTTTGGCCGGTTGCCCTGATGCCATACTGAGCATGTTCCTGACCCGGCACTGCCACAGGCACCGGGAGCTCCTTGGAGGGATGTGGAGCAATGGCAAGGCTGCACGAGGGTCTCATGGTGCCTGTGGAAAGGGGATGTCTTGCCCGTGGGGCTGTTGCCACGCTTGGGATTCAGATCTGCCTAACGCCGGTCATCCGGGGGGCTTTCTCCGGTGGTGAACAGGGGTCCACACCGGAGGGTCTCCAAACAGTACCCAGCCACCTCGAGGTGGCCAACCCCCACCCTGTGAACTTGCCCGAGGGTGTCTTTGCCTCCCAGCCGGCGGGGAAGGAGAGGAAGGGGTGTGCGACGCTGTGTTTGTGCCTATCAGGTTGTCGCCGCACCAGCTGGAGCGGTGCTGCAGCCCGCAGAGCTAACCACAGTTATTTTAGCAGGCTGATGTTTATGTTTGCCTCCCTGCCGCAGAAAGCCATCGCTCTCACGGTTTTAGCAACAACTGCTGCTCCAGGCCAGGCTAATTCCAACCCACTCAGGTTTGGGGCTGTTTGTTCTCACCTGACAGAGCTAAACGGGTTGTTTTGGAGAGAGGCATCAAAATATCTAATGCGGAGGGGAGATTTCTGCTGCTCAGACTGGATTTGTGCCGCAGTGTCCGGGCTGCCGGTGAGGGGTCCGTGGCACGGCGGGATGCTGTGTGTACTAAGGTTGGGATGGAACTGGGAAAGGCGAGGCTTGCTGGGCTCTGGCTCAGACCTTGTCCTCTAGCTCTCGGACTTTGCAGCTGAACAGGCAAAAAAAACCAAAACAAACCACATGCACCACTTAATTCGTCTGTTTTTCTGGGGCAAAACTGGAGCCACGGGTTGACAACGCCTCTGCCCTGGCCTCGGTGTCCAGGACAGATGCATGCAGCTGGGGCTGCAACCTTCCCCCATGCTGTCTGCCCCGCTCCTCAGCTTGAAGCTTTGCAATAACTCAGTTATTTGATAAATCCGAGGAGCCAGGTCAGGAAGGAAATGGCCCCTTCCCATATTTGTGATTTCTATCAAACGCGGCAGGACCAGGCCAGCAGAAACTGGAGCAAAACCACTCGTTTCCCCTCCCTGTTCCCCTTTATGCCCATCCCAGCAGGGCTTGGTCTCGTGCGTGGGGCTCTGATCATGCCGGAGACCTCCCAAGCTCCTGAGATCAGTTCGCTCCCATCTCCGGGCGAAGTTCAAAGCTTTGCCTTCGTTCCTGCCTGCAGCCGCGGGGTGTTTAATGTGCAGCCGGCATTCCCCGCACGCCGGCGCCCTGGATGTGAACCGCTGCTTTTCAGCTCTGTCTGAAAAGGAGCCGTCTCGGGGCCTCGCCTCTTAATTGCGGAGGAGGTGAACATGAAAAAGCCTCTGGCTGCTTTTAAAGCAGGCGAAGGCGGCTGCTCCGGAGGCAGAGCCTTCGCCCAGGCATCCTCACAGCAGGGTGGTACCCAACCTGGAGATCTCGCTCCTCAGCTTGAAGCTTTGCAATAACTCAGTTATTTGATAAATCCGAGGAGCCAGGTCAGGAAGGAAATGGCCCCTTTCCATATTTGTGATTTCTATCAAACGCGGCAGGACCAGGCCAGCAGAAACTGGAGCAAAACCACTCGTTTCCCCTCCCTGTTCCCCTTTATGCCCATCCCAGCAGGGCTTGGTCTCGTGCGTGGGGCTCTGATCATGCCGGAGACCTCCCAAGCTCCTGAGATCAGTTCGCTCCCATCTCCGGGCGAAGTTCAAAGCTTTGCCTTCGTTCCTGCCTGCAGCCGCGGGGTGTTTAATGTGCAGCCGGCATTCCCCGCACGCCGGCGCCCTGGATGTGAACCGCTGCTTTTCAGCTCTGTCTGAAAAGGAGCCGTCTCGGGGCCTCGCCTCTTAATTGCGGAGGAGGTGAACATGAAAAAGCCTCTGGCTGCTTTTAAAGCAGGCGAAGGCGGCTGCTCCGGAGGCAGAGCCTTCGCCCAGGCATCCTCACAGCAGGGTGGTACCCAACCTGGAGATCTCACCCTGGGGGTGGTGAGAATCCCTCTGCCTGGTGCCGTTTCCGCTGCCGGGCTAGTTTTTGGGCTGGCAGGTCAAACAGGAGGGGGAAAAGACCCTTTCTGAAAGCTGGAGAAGGTGAAGATGCTCTCAGAGGCTGGGAGCATCGCTGCTCTCTAGATATTAGGACCTCAGGGATGCCGATGGGTTCTGCCAGAGCTGGGCGTGGGACCCTCATACCAAACTGGTACTTGCCTTTCTAGGCACTTGGTAGCCCCTCTGACATCTCATAGGGATGCTCAGTGGTCCAGGGGCTTCAGCTGCAGGCGAGGGGCACTCCTGCTCCTCTCTCTCTCAGCACCGGGCTGGATTGTGCAGTGGGGTGAGAGTAAAGCAGCATTTCCTCATCACCCAAGGGCTTTGCTGGGCTTGGATGGGGCTGGAGGGGGGGGATGGATGGGAGGAGGGGGGACTCC